CTCGCGATCGATCTCACTATCGGTCTCATTGAATCGATTTCATTCTCGGTCTCACGATTGAGCTTACAATCGTCCTCACTATCGATTTCACTATCGATCTCATTCTCAATATCACAATCGATCTCAAGATCCATAGTATCAATTTTCAAACCATCCACAGATTGGGCTTTTCTCAGGTGTAAGTTTGTTTTCAACGCGTAAGCTTCAGGGTCATAAGTGGTGGGGAAGTCACAGGCGAAACGCCGGGCCCGCCCTTTCGACCGGCCTCGTGGCGCGACAGGGAGACGCTGTTCGTAAGGAGAAGGAGTGGAGGAGGAGGAGGAGGAGGAGGAGGAGGAGGAAGGGGAGGAGGAGGAGGAGGAAGGGGAACAGAGGCGTTGCGGAGGTCTGCCGCTCGGCGTCGCGGCGCCCGCTTGACCGCCCGCGCGACCGCCCGCAGCAGGCCATCACGGGCAGGACCAGGGTCCCCGCGGCGGCGCCGGTGGCCGCGCACCCGCTGGCCCGGGGCCCGGGCGAGGAGCGGAAGGCGCCGCAGCCAGGAGCACCGGGCGCCTCGTCGCCGGGATCGGCGGCTCGCCAGGGAGGCGCAGGAATGTACGCAGATTCCAGAGCTCCCCACGTGTTGTCAGGTTTGTTGAGTGGTCTCCTTCCCCTCCACTTCCCATGGCCGGGCTTCTCGGATCAGGGGCAACGATAGGGGGGGGATAGGCACAGGGGGGGATGCATCGACCCCCAATCGCCCATTGATCGCCGAGAGGGGCCCGATAGCCCCACCCCGCCCAGGGAGGTGCGGACTCACTATCGGGGGGCCTGTCGCCGATCTATCGGCGATGTATCGCCGAGTCCAGGTCGATGCATCCCCCCCTAAGCCTACCCCACCCTATCGTTGCCCCTCATCAGAAGCCCTCCAGCCTTCTGAGAAGCGGCTTCTGCCATCGGAGAAGGCTTGGGCACATGTTGTAGTGTTTGTGGAGTGTGCCCCTTCCCCTCCACTTCCCATCCCCGAGGCGCTTCCTGGAGTCTGAGCCTATGCGTTCCTGTGTGTCTCTCTCCCTCCTAGTGATCTGGGTTTGCAGGCCCGCCCGCCCCCCCTTTCTCCTCCCGGATAACCTGACCTTGTGGGGGTGCGAATTGGACGAGCAGTGCTGGTGCGCGCTGGCATACTCGGGCTGGACGAAAGGGGGGGGGATTGGGAAAGGGGGGTTACGAAATGTGCTGCACGCATCTGGTTTCGGCCCCACCGAGGGGCCCATTCCTCGATACATGGCCGCCTCCGGCGCCGGGAGGCGCCGGGAAAATCAGCTACGTGAGCTGATTCCCAAACCCCCCCTTTGCTATCCCCCCCTTTCGCCCGGCCCGATATACGTGGGACTGCCCAGAGCCATCGTCATCGGCCAGCATCTCCTTGCCCCCCCACACCAGATAACCTAGGTTGTCGTGGCAAGATGGAGCACGATCTCGATGGGGCAGGCATTCCCAGGAGGCGCTAGGGCTTCTCAGGAGCCCTCTGGCCTTCTGAGAAGCCGTCTCTGTCTCCAGAAAAGGCGTGGGCACTCTCAGGACGCCCGAGGCTGTCCGCGCTTTCTTCAGAAGGCCGCCCCTCTGCATTCCCCCCTGGGCCCGCAGCCGATCAGAGGGGGGAAATGGGTGCCGGTTTTGCAGGGCGGAGCCCTGGGCGCCTCGTCCTCAGGGGGGGCGATCGCAGAGGGAAAAGCTGCATCAGCATAAGCCTCTCGGAACTCTCGGGTTGGCGCTGGGGCCCTGGGCGGCGCCCCCTGCGCAGCTCTTTGCGCCAAGGGATCCGTGCGGCGCTTCGAAAGTTCACGTCCTGTACCGCTGCTCGCTCCTACATTTAAGTCGGGCGTGTCCCCCTACAGGGGGATTTTCGACGAAAAATTCAAACTACCCAAAAAATGATCCCAAAATGTAAAACATATTCAAAAAATAGTCCCCAGACTAACTATGTTTGCATTTGTTTGGATTCTGTTTTTGGTTATTTCTTCTGTTTCGTCGAAGATGCCCCTGTAGGGGGACAGGCCCGACTTAATCCTTCATGGGGAGGGGTGCGGAATGCCGCTCCCCGCAGCCCTCGGTGTCGCATTCTTGCGCTGAGCGTCCTGGGAGGCCCCCGCCGCCACGGCCGGACCTGCCTCGGGCGCACCCCGGGCAGAGGTGCGGGGAGTCTCGGCCACGTCTCGGAGGGGGGTGTCGAGGGAGGCTTGGCAGCGCTCAAACGTGTGCATTTTTCCTTCGGCGAGGACCATCGAGGAGCATCCTGGATCATCTGGCGAAAAAAAAAACACGCACGAAACCGACAAAAGCACAGGGAATGGACGCCCGAGCGATGGCCAGGAGGGGGGGAGGCTTCTCTTAGAGGCACCCCCCTTCTTTAGGAGGCCGGAAGACATGGGAGAATATGGGGAGTCGTGCTATTTGTGCGTATTTATTTGTGTGTCCCAGGCCCCTTCATCCATGTCCTCCTCCTCCATTCTTTTTCCTTTTAGATAACTCCTCCTTGTCGCACCCCAAAGCCAGTCGAAAGGGCGGGCCGGGCGTTTCGTACGAGACTCTTCACCATGTGTATGACCCTGATGCCTCAGAGAAGGCAGCAGCTTCACAGACGGAGGGCGGGTGTTTTTTCCAAATGTGGCTATCGCCTTAGCGACGGGCACAATCGTTCGAAGCGTTTGCAAGAGCTTCACGGATTACGAGCGGGCAGTTTTCATCATGTAGTTATCATTTTAGCGTCGCGCACGTTCGTTTTTTGAATGTGCAAGAGCTTCACGGATGGAGGGGGGTCGTTTTCAAGATGAGGTTATCGCTTTAGCGCCGCGCGCATTCGTGCTTAAATTTGGCAAAAGTTTCACGGATTGAGGTCGGGTCGTTTTCAACATGCGGTTATCGCGAATGTGTGCCGCGAACATTCGTTGAAGAAGTGCAAGAGTTTGAAGGGTTGAGGGTGGTTCGTTTTCAACATGTGGTTCTAGCCTTGGCGCCGCGCGCATTCGTTTTAAACATGTGCAAGAGCTTCACGGATTGAGGGTTGCTCGTTTTCAACATGTGTGTTCTCCCTAGATTGCCGCGCACATTCGTTTCCAATGTTGCAAGAGCTTCACGGATTGAGGGTGGGTTGTTTTCAACATGGTTCTCGCTCGTGCGCCGCGCACATTCGTTTTAAAACATTGCAAGAGCTTCAAGGCTTGAGGGCTGTTCTTTTTCAGCATGTGGCATTCGCCTTAGTGCCGCGCTCACCCGTCTTAAGCATTTGCAAGAATTGCATGTGTTCTCATGGTTAACTGATCATCCATTGTGATCTGGAACGAGTCAGGATTATCAGGGTGCAGATTGCGTTGCGTCGCGGTGTTGAAGTTCCAGGAGTGGTATCCTGGCACGGTTCTGGATCGCCAAGACGTAACACTCAGGTTACATCGTGGCGTTGGCGTCCTGAGAAAGGTGTTTTGGCACCCTTCAAGATGTTCACACAGTTGTCCCCCAACTGGGCAATTCATCCAATGGAAATAACACCATGTAGGGAGGGGTTTTGGAGGGAGGGTGTATTTCAACATCGTTGATGAGTCGTGGGTTGACACTGGTCCTCGTCCTTCTCGTGGTCGGAGAATCGCGCCGCATCGCAGAGGCATCGGTGATGCGGCTGGATGTGCAGCCCGATTTTCTCCACGCCCACTGCGCCGATGCATCGGCGATGTATCGCCGATGCATCGGCGATGCAGCGCGATCCTCCGATTCCACCTACTCGGACCTCATCTAGGAGGCATCTATCATTGCTTGGGCACCCGCAGATGCACAAGTGATTCGCGGGTGTCTCTGGTGCGCTGGCGTGGCTCCACCTTTCAAGACATATTCCAAATCCGCGGCCTCGCTTGCCGAGCTCCTGGGCCGGGACCACGCGAATACGGGGCCTTTTGTCGCGGATGCCCCACGCGGAACCTATCCGTGCGACCACGTATCCGCTATATCGTGCCCGAGGATCTAGACCGCGAGGGCGCGTGTGGTCGAGCGTGTGAGTCTCATGGTTGCCAGAAGGTGACATGACACCAGGTGGTGCAGCAACATTTTTATGGCGAGACTGAGATTTTGCCGAGATGCACAGAGCGGTCGTGAAGGGTTTGAGAGTTGAATGGGATTCCTTCCCGGCGTGCCTCAACAGCGTCTACCATCGAAGCAAACATCGGCATGAACATACATCTGCAGAGGTCTGCGCATGTGTCGTGGCGCTGTGCCTTTGCGCGGACGACGAGAAGGTGTTTCAGGAGGGAAGGAATCACACAGACACAATTAATCGTGGACCCCCCAGGGAAATATGAGAATATATGGGAAGTGGGGGGGGGGAGGACGACAATCCATAGAATATGGGAAATTATGGGTACTCCTGTCATGTCTGTATATTCATGTGTGCGTCTCTGGGCCCTTCTCCCCCCTCCTCCCTCTTTCCTCTCTCCCCCTTTGCCTCCTCCCAGCATGGTCCAGGAGCCTCTGCCCCGTCCCCCGTCCCCCGTCCCCCTCTCCCTCCCTCTCCCCATCCCCTCCCCTCCCATCCTCTCCCCATCCCCCCATCCCCCCCCCCTCGTTGCCTCCTCCCTCCCCCTCTCCTCACTCCAACGGCTCGGTTGCGGCGGCTGGGCTTGGACCGTCTCTTTCGCCGCCTCTCTCGCCGCCGCCGCTCGTCGTCGGCGCCGTCGCCGTCGCCGTCGCCCTCCTCGGCCTCGGCGGCCGTCGCCACCCGCAGGAGCCGCCGTCCCGCCGGCGCCCGACCCACTGGCGCCGCTCCCCGAGCTGAGCGCGGAGCCGCTGTGGGCCCGGCCTGTGGCGGAGGACCCGCTCCGCGCTCGGGGAGGCGCCCGCCGTGGGCCGCGGCAGAACGACGACGGCGTCAAAGATCGCCGCGACGTCGACGACGACCGCGGCGACGGCGGCGGCCCCTACGACGACGACGACCCAGACGACGACGGCGGCGGCGGCAGCGGCGGCGGCGGCGACGATGAAACGAACTTGCGTCTTCGTTCGGTCAGGGTCCCCTTCAGCGACGGGTCGCCGACGTCGTCCGTCAGTATCGTTTAACCGATCCCTATCTCCATCCCCATTCACATCTCGAGTCCCACCGTCTCACCACCTAAGTTGGGGATATGCCCCTCGAAACCCGAAGAGAGCAGCCTATATCCCCATCCAGAGGGGTAAATCGGCCAGTGGGGCCCAGCCCGCACTGGTGGGGATGGGGATCGGTTAAACGATGCTCAGTCCGTCAGCGGACGACAAGGTAAAAATACCTCGAAGGAGAAACAATTGCATAAATATCAGCTTTTGGCGCTCCGCGCGGATTTCTTGGATCCGCGCTGGGAACCCCCGGCGGTGCCTCCGGCGCCGGCCCTGGCGCGCTCCGCGCGCCAGGGAGGGGGGTCCTGAGCGGAGGGGGGTCCTGAGCAGATCCAAGGAATCCGAGCGGAGCGATGTTTATGGCGTTTTATTCCTTTCTAGACAAGGTACCCATACCGCTACACTTCCTTCGTTTTTGCCTTTTTCGGCCTCCTGGGAGGCCCACGTCGCCACCGCTGGATTCGCCTCGAAGTCCTGGTCAGTCCCATACCGCTACAGTCGACCCGCATTGGTAGGGATGAACAACCTTCCCGAGGCTACCCTTGCATCCTGGCCCCTTCGGCCCGTCCTTGGCGACTTTCGCTGGCAAGCCTCGTTCGAAAGACGTCAACATGCCCCTCCAATGCCCTCGCATCCTTGCCTCCTCGGTCCATCCTTGGCCACTTTCGTTGGCCGCGCCCCGCTCGAAAAGCATCGAAATGTGCGTCCAAGGCCCTCGCATCCTTACCGCGCATCCTTACTGTGCGGTTGACTACACACTTCCCTCGCTTTTGCTCTTTTTCGGTCCCCTGGGAGGCCCTCGTCGCCACCGCTGGATTCGCCTCGAAGTCCTGGTCAGAGTGCACCCCTGGAGAAGTCCGGGGAGTAGCGGTATCGGTGCCTCGAGAAGGGTCGCGCGACGCTCCTGTCCCGCAACCGCGCCCTCGCGGTCTGCATTCCGGGGCGCGATCGCGCGAGTACGCGGTCGCACAGATACGTTCCGCGCGGGGCATCCGCGAAACAACGCTTATGTGGGGCGTGTCCCCCTACAGGGGGATTTCCAATGACAAATGAAAAATACCCCAAAAATATGCCAAAAAGGTCAAAACATATATAAAAAAAAAGACCCCAGACTATTTTGGACTATTTTTTGATTACTTTGGGTGTATTTTTTATTTTTCGCCGAACATCCCCCTGTAGGGGGACATGCCCGACGTAAAACAACGCCCCGTATCCGTGGGGTCGCGGGATACGGATGCGTGTTTCGCCCATGATCGTCCGCGGTCTTGGTCTGATCATCGTTTCTCCGACCCTTATCCTCAACGGCGTGACCTGGGCCCCACTGGCCGATTTACCCCCCTGGATGGGGATGTGGGCCGTTTCCTAAGGGTTTCGAGGGGTCTATCCCCCAACTGGTGTGCTGAGATCGTCGAGCTCGGGCTGGGGATGGTGATGGGGATAGGCGTCGGTTATCCGATACTGATGCTCGTGGACTCAGGGGAGGAAGCGTACCGATACCGCCTTTCTGGGCCTCCTGGGATGCCCTCGCCGCCACAGGTGGGTGCGCCTTGGAGTTCTGGTCAGGATGCATCTCGGGAGAGGTCCGGGGAGTAGCGTTATCTGTACCTTTTGGTTTTCCCATGGGCGCCGTTGTCATCCTCCGTAGTCGTTGGTCGTGGACGTGTTCGTGTCTGTCGCCGCCATTCGTCGCCCTACGTAGTCGGCTGTCGTCTGTCGTCGTCGTCGTCGTCGTCGTCGTCGTCGTCGTCGTCGCCGCCGCCGTCGTCGTCGTCGTCGTCGTCGTCGTCGTCGTCGTCGTCGTCGTCGTCGTCGTCGTCGTCGTCGTCGTCGTCGTCGTCGTCGTCGTCTGTCGTCGACGTCACCGCCGCCGCCGTCTTCGTCGTCGTCGTCGTTGAGGTTCAAGCAGGTTTTGCGCGGTTTCCAGCGTCCTGCCAGGGCCGTCTGGAATCGATCCAGGGTGGAAATGCTGCCGTCGTTGTCATGGGCCACCTCATGGCTGTGGAACGCATTCGGAGGAGAGGCGAGCTGCTGCCATGTCTTCTCTTTTGGGTACCTCCAGGGGTGCCTTTGTCAAGTGGCGTGGCAACTCATGGGAGTTGTTCTGTGCGTTTCAACTCTCGCATCCGTTAGGATTCCTGCCACACTTTAGTCCTCCTTCCGCATCGGATGCCCTTGGGCCCATTCCGCCACCGTGCCTTTGTTGTGGGTCATCGGCCTCTAGGATGTTCGTTGGAATGTCTCGGGAGGCCTCTCTGGGGCCTCTTGGGGACAGTTTTGGTGCCAGTTGGGGGCCGTTTTGATGCCTCTTGGGGCGAGTCGGGGGCCTCTTGGGGGTCTCGTGAGGCCTCTTGGGGGCTTCTTCTGGCCCTCTTGGGGCCTCCTGGGGGCCTCTTGGATCGGAAGACTCGGATTTTCGGTTCATGCTCACCCTTTCGGGCCCTTTTTGGAGCTGTCTTTGGGCCGTCTGGGGCGCCTCTGGGTCTGGTTTGGGGCCCTCTTGGGGGCCTCTTGGTCTGTCTGGGGCGGTCTTGGGGGCCTCTCGGGCCGGGCTCACCTTCCAGTTGCCCAGGCGACACACTCCGGCGGCGCCCAGCAGCGCTCAAGAGCGCCCGGGAAGCCGGGGGTGTGGGCCCTTCAGAGCCTTACAAACATTCTACCTCGCGGGGTTGGATGAGCCTTGGGGCACTACACCACGTGCTGGAGGCACGGTGGCGCCGTCACCGTCGTCGTCGTCGTCGTCGCCGGTATGCTTCATCCCGCCGTCGGGGGGAGGAGGAGGAGGAGGAGGAGGGGGAGGGAAGGGAGGAGGAGGAGGAGGAGGAGGAGGAGGAGGAGGAGGACCCTGTGCAGCGACAGCGTCCTCCCGCCCCTCGGCTGCTTCCGCATCTCTTCGTCCTCCTGCCGCCGGTCAGTTCGCGCTCTCCGTTGCCCGGCCCGCCCGAGCGCGCGCGCGGACTGCCTCTGCCGCGCTGCGACGTCAAACTTGCGGCAGTAAAGCGCTGTGCAGCCGCCCATGCATCGGCGTCGGGGCTCCAGGGACGGGGGTCAATGCAAAGGGGGGTCAGTCAGAGCGCTGGATCTTGCAGGGTCCTGCAGGGCCAGGGGCGCACCGACCCGGGCTCGGGCGCAGGAGCCCGCAGGATCCTGCAGGACCTTGCAGGATCCTGCAAGGCCCCACAGACCCGGGTTTGGACTCGCCCCGAACGATGCGTCCCCGACGGCGACGCGGCGCGCTCCCCCGCGGCCCCGTCCTGCGCGCGCCGCGCAGCTGCGCCGCCGTGCTCCGCAGCCCCCGCTGGCCCTCGCCGGAGGAGGCCGAGGAGGAGGAGAAGGAGGAGAAGGAGGAGGAGGAGAATGGCAGCAGCTACGGGACAGGACCTCATACCGTGAGTGAGTGAGTGAGTGAGTGAGTGAGGAGGCGGAGGAGGAGGAGGAGGAGGCGGCCCTGGAGGAGGAGGAGGAGGAGAAGGAGGAGGAGGAGGAGCAGGAGGAGGAGGAGGAGGAGGAGGAGGAGCGGCCGAGGCGCCCGCGCCTCCGTATGCCCACGGCCCTGCGCCCCCCCCTTCTGTTGTGCACTTTGCCCCTGCCTCGGGGGCGCTCGGCCTCTGCTTCTGCACTCTGCCTCGGCATCCTACACGTGCATGCGCGCCTCGGCGGTTGTTCTGCACGCGACTGGCCCGTCCAGTCCACCCCCCTGCTGCCTACTGCCAGTATCGTTTCACCGACCCCCCTCCCCATCCTCATCCCCTTGGGGCCCCCCCCCCAGCTTACCACCCCAGTTGGGGTCACACCCCTCGAAACCCGAAGGGGACGGCCTACATCTCCCCATCTGACGGTGTCAATCGGCCAGCCAGGGCCCAGGCCACGCCGCTGGGGATAGGGATCGGATTAACGATGCTCAATCTTTGTATTAGAGGCAGACCGCGCGCGCTCATTGGCGGGCCCGGCCCTCCTCGTTCTCCTCCTCCTCCCCCTTCTCCTCCTGCTCCTCCTCCTGCTCCTCCTCCTCCTCCTCCTCCTCCTCCATCTCCTCCCCCACCTCCCCCTCCTCCTCCCCCTTCTCCTCCTGCGCCTCCTCCTCCTCCTCCGCCTCCTCTTCCTCCTCCTCCTCGTTCTCCTCCTCCTCGCCCTGATCGGCGGTTGAGAGACCTCCTACCCTGACACGTCGATTAGCGAATTGGCCGTTTTCGGTTCGCGAGGGGGCGTCGCGGCCGTCCTTTCTGCGGGTCCAGGTCCGTCGGTGTCGGGTCCCAGGCCGTTCTCGCTGAAGGGTGGTTTACTTAACGGAGGTGTGTCTACCGCCGACAGGGGGCGGCAACGAAAGACTATACGATTAGGCGGCCGCGGGGCGGGAGGAGGGGAGGGGAGGGCGCTCACAGGGAAGGCGTCGCCGCGGAGCGGCCGGGGCGGCCCAGACGCCAGGCATGCGAGGTGTTGTTTGTGTCGTGCGCGGCCCCCGAAATCATCGAGCAGAATACGATCCCTACAGCCCGAGTAGCTCAATTCAAGCAGTGGCGAAGCGTCCCGGCGTGCCTATAGGCCTGCCTAACAATGTTTTAAGAACCTGTTGTGGTCTGCACGAAATGTTATTCGAACATTTCTAGCCGCGGCTGTCTTGTTTGAACACATCGGGCTTATGTTCTAAGAACATTGTTTTTGTTATTCGAACACTCCTGGGTTCTAGGAATATGTCGTGGTATGCCTATAGGAATACCGGGACGGTCGGTCCCTGCTCAAAAATTGGGCCCCTGGTTGTTAAGTATGTCCTTGAGCACAAGGGTGGTTGCGTCTGATACCTCTTCGAAACGACCCCCATCCCTAACATTTGTGGCCCTCCTGACTCAGGCCCCCTCCGAAAGGGTCAGGGGCACTTCTGTCCGAAATGCGCCACGCACCAATTGTACGCCAAGCGCCCGAGCTCATGCCACGTGCTGGAGGACTCGGCGGGTGAGGAGGATCCGCGAAGACGCGCCATCGTACGGCTCTCGTGTTAGGAGCATCCGCGCAGATCCGCTCAAAACACGCTTTTTTGATTCGCGGGTCGAGAGCGCACCTCTTCCGGTCGAAGCTAAGCGGGCCGCGCGAAGCTTGAATCAACACAGAGGGGGACAGAAGGAGAGCGGCCTCTCGGCAAGGCCAGGAGGAGGCACAGATCCGCTCAACACACGCCGTGTGAGGAGGATCCGCTTAGACGCCCCGACGGCACGACAGCTTGCGCCTCGTGCCGGGCCGACGCGGCGAGGGCCCCGTCGCGGGGTCCACGCGCGTCGCCCCGCGAGCTCCGCCCCGCGGCGCCCAGGCGCCGCCGGGGAGGCCGGCGCCACGGCCGCCTCCGGGACCTTTGGCCCCGCGCAGCTGGACGAGGCGGGCCCGGGGCGCAGCGCGGCTCGCCGTGCTTCTGGACGCCCGACAGCAGTTCGCTGTTCATTTTGAACAGGGCTCGCTGTCCGCGCCGCCGCGTCCATCTGAGACAGGAGGCCGCCTGCCCAACAGCGGCCGCTGTTGGTTTGGGACAACATTTGTTGTTCGGCATTGTGCCCATTTTTTCCGTACCCATTTCGGGCGTCCAAAATGATCGGGCGCTTCGTGGTTCGACGACCCATCGGTCGTTGAAAGGAGGTATGTTTCGGGACTCCCGGGTTCCAATCCACCCTGAGCGCCTTCGTACTTCAACGATCGAGTGGCTTCACCTTTTCCGTCCTCGTTCGGGGATCCGAGAAATCCGCGCAGAAGTCCGAGCTTTTATGTTTATGTCATTCTTCGTTCCCCTACTCAACGAAGCAATTCCCGACGTGGAGCACACGGGTCCTGAGGACATGGTGTTTGGGAGGTGTGACGCCACTTGCCTCATGCCATGCGACAATCACGACAGTCAATCAAGGCTTAGAGGAGGAAAGGGTAATTACCCCTACATGCCACCTTTCCGTCGCTGTCGCATTTGGGCCTCCTGAGAGGCCCTCGTTTTCACCGTTGGATTCGCCTCGAAATTCTAGTCTGAGTGCACCCTGGGAGAGGTGCGGGTAGCTGTATCGGTTCCTTTTGGCTTCCTTATGAGCAGATCAAGGCAGCGTTTTACTTGTTTTCGGCCTTGGGGGTCCGCAACGGGCCCCAGCACGGTCAACAAGCGACTCAGGCGGAAGAGCCATCTCGTATGAAAGGGTTTGGATTTCTGCAGACCGCGCACTGAACAACAACAATCCGAATCTCTGCTCACACACAAATGACAGACAACTCGCCAGAGTGACCTGCAATGCAATGCAATTGCAGCGGCTTGCGTGACTGGGTTTGCAGGCTTGCCCTCTTCCAAAGCCACGTAGCTGGCAAGTATCACTCTTGCATCCGGTCACTCTTGCGTGCGGTCGGCGTCGCTGCCGTCGCCATTTTCGTTTTCGTCGAGCCTCGAGCAGGTTTTTCGCCGTTTGCGTCCCGGGGTTCTCCTGCTGGCCTGCAGGGCCGCCAGAAATTGCTCGCTGGACCTTGAGAAATGTCCTCGGCGCTGTCGCCGTTGTTGTCGCCTCCGTCGTCCTCGCCGTCGTTGGCTGGACTGACGAGGCTGGCGCGGGGCAGACCCCGTCGTCTCCGCCGTCCTCCTGCTCTTCCGCCTCCCTCCGCCTCCCTCCGCCCTCGTCCAGGTCATCCTCCGCATCCTCTGGCTCCTCCTCGACAGGGAGGAAGGAGGGGTGAGGGGTCGAGGAGCGGAGAGGTTGCGGAGAGAGAAGCAGGAGCAGGAGGAGGAGGAGGAGCAGCGGGAGGAGGAGGAGGAGGAGGAGGAGGAGGATGAAGAGGAGCAGTGGGAGGAGGAGGAGGAGGAGGAGGAGATGCAGGAGCAGGAGCAGGAGCAGGAGGAGCAGGAGCAGGAGCAGGAGGAGCAGGAGGAGAGAAGCAGGAGGAGGAGGAGGAGGGGGAGGAGGAGGAGGAAGGAGCTGGAAGAACGGCCAGCGTAGCTCGAGCGAGCTTGCGCAGACAGTGAAACCAGGTGTGGGAAGTTCTGCGGACACCGTGCTTGGCGCAACCTCTCCGGGCCAGACACTTGGGGCGCCAGCACGCTGCACGAGCCACTGACACCCTCGAACAAAAACCACTGGCCAATGAGACGCCGACGGCGCAGGGTCTGCCAGCCGCCCCCGAAACGGGGCAAGAAGGCTCAGCCAGGCAGAGGGCTTGGCTGAAAACCATCAGCCGACAGGGCAATCCATTTTTTGACCGTAACTTCGCGGGGTGGACTGTGGAAGGGGAGCTGAATTGGCCAGCAACTGACTTTCGGGCCACAAGCCCAAAACTTTGCCGATGCCAAAGACGGCTTCACCGTCCCCTGCTGCGGAGAGGGTAGAGGAGGAGGAGGAGGAAGAAGAAGAAGAAGACGAATAAACATCATGCGAATAATAAGAATAATAATAATAATAGGAATAATAATAAGAAGAATAAACGTAATAATCAACATAAGACGAATAATATTGATACTACGAATAATAATAAGTCGAAGAAGACGAATCATAACAATAGTAATATTGATAAGAAGAAGAAGAAGCATAATAATAAGAATAATAATAATAAGACAAATAATACTAATCGTAATAATACGTGTAAGAATAAGCAGAAGAAGACGAAACATAATCATAATACTACTAAGAAGCATAAGGCTAATAAGAATAAGAAACAGAAGAAGAGGAGGATGAGGAGGAGGAGGAGGGGGGGGAGGGGGACGAGAAATGGGAGGAGGGAAAGGCCCTGACACTCAGGGACTGCATGGCAGGCTCCATGACAGGACGAGCCAGGATGGGTTCCTGACCGTATAGAATTCGCCACAACCCCCAAGTACAGTCGGATCGAGGTATAACATCGAGGTCGCTTCGGGGAGGGTACCCTGATGTTCTTCGTGCTTTCTAGATGTTCTGGCGCAGCTTGCGGGAGGGTGCCCTCGAGCGTTCTTCAGTTTGGGCCGGCGGATGGTGTCAGAATCTTGAAGGATGTTATTATGTCCTAGGTGCACCTGCAAACACCACTCCTCCTGTGTCTGCTGCGCCTGCCTTGCGCCTGGCATAAGTTTTTATGTTGCCCAGTAAAGAGGGCAGCATATCTGAACTATGTGGAGTGGGTCATAGGTGAAACATGTGGATTGGGGACCAGGAAGACCAATCCAACGGACGCATCGCACACATTGCTTGGGCATGCTGCCCACACGACGAGAGGATCCCCAACGGGCTCTCTCACTGCCGCTTTCTTGCTGACTTGTTCACGTACATGTGTACAGACACATTTGTTTTAAACGTGCATTCGACCGTGGATTACAAATCACCTGACTATGACGTTCAGGGCATCAATATATACAACAAACACATTTTGCGGTGCTCCCGCAAAGGTGGTGTGCTGACCGCGTGGCAAGAGATTCTGGAAAGGGTTCAGGGAGATTCCAGAGCTTGGATATGCTGACGGCGGCTGACTGAGCTGGCCGTCCTCCTTTCCTCCTCCTCCTCCTCCTCCTCCGCTTTCTCATCCCCTCCTCCTCCTGCTCCTCCTCCTCCTCATCTCGTGCTGCTAAGTTGAGTCCTGGAGCCTTTGCGGGCAGGCGGGGAACCGCTGCTGCCTCGGTGCTCTCCTCCCGCGACTCAGACAACTCAGGAGTAGGCACCAACTTCCTTCTGTTTACCCATCGGTCGTTGAAAGTAGGTATGTTTGGAGCCCCATATTCCAATCCTAATTCAGCGCCTTCCGACTTCAAGAGTCCAGTGGTTTTCATTATTTCCTCCTCTTCAGGAGGCGGGCGGAAGCCCAATCTACTTCCACCGCCTTCCTACATGCTTCTACCTACATCTTCCGACCGATGGGTACGGTATTTTGAAAAATAGTGCACGTGCGCCTCGCCCTTAAGTGGGCCCTTCGAGTAGCGTCTCTTGAAGATGGGAACGTCGAAAGAAAACGGCTCTGGACTTCGACTCGGAACGGGAACTGAACAAAGATCGGCCACGGAGCCGGCAACAGAAGCGGCGACGGAACCAGCCGGTAAACAAAGGCTCCGCTAAGGCCTCGCCCTTGCCCTTCTCCCTCGCCCTCCCCTTCCCCCTCCCCCCTCGAGATGAGAGGGCTGCCGAGGGCCGAGAAAGCCGGGGGCTGCCGAGGGCATGTAGCCGCGGCTCGCTCCGAGGATTGGTTCTGGCCGGCGCGGGGTCGCACGGGCACTCGGGCAGATGGCCCCCTGCGCCGACGCAGGTTACTCGCTGGTTTGTCCGCCTCTCTTTTCCCAGGGCGGACGAGCGGATGCCCGAGGCGAAGAGCCGCGCAGGCGGTGAAGTGAGGCCCGCTGGCCCGGTAGCAAGTCATGGGAGCCTCGTGGTCCCTCGTAGTTCTGGTGGTGTAGCGTCGAGCCGCGTGGATGAGCGTCGATTGGCGTCATCGCGGCCATCGCCGCTACCGCCGTCACCGCCGTCGTCGTCGTCGTCGTCGACGTCGTCGTCGTCGTCGTCGTCGTCGTCTTCGTCGTCATCGTCGTCGCCTTTTTCGTCGTCGTCGTCGTCGTCGTCGTCGCCTTCGTCGCCGCGGTTGTCGTCGTCTTCGTCGTCGTCGTCGTCGCCGCCGCCGTCGTCGCTGTGATCGGCGTCGCCATGACGTCGCCGCCGCCGCCCCGTCGCCGCCGCCGCCGCCGCCGCCGCCGCCCCCAAGGTCTGGCGCCTGTTCCAGCCAGAGGGCGGCCGCGCCCCGGCGGAGACCCCCCGCGAGGGGCGGCGGGGCAAGGCTCGGGGAAGGAGCAGTGACAGGCACGTCGGTCGCTGGCAGTGTCGGCGGCGAGCGAGGGGGGGGGGGAGCGAGGAGGAGCAGGCCTTCCCAGGAGGCGGCGGGACTCCTCAGAGGGCCTCGCGCCCTCTGGCAGCGCTCGTTCTGTGTTCGGAGAGGGCTTCGAACACTTCTCGGTAGGCCGGAAGACTTCCGAGCCTTGCCCCCCGAGCTCGATGCCATCAATGGCTCTAGGCCGCCTAGAGGGGGTCGGAGGATCGCGCCACATCGCCGACGCATCGCCGATGCATCGCCGACGCGGCTCGACGTGGAGCCCGGTTTGCGTCACGTCGACGTCGCCCATGCATTGCCGACGTCGACGAGGCGTCGCCAGTGCATCCCCGGTGCATCGCCGACGCATCGCCGATGCATTGGCGATGCGGCGCGATCCTCCGACACCATCTACTCCGACCCCATGTAGGAGGCCTCTAATGACATGCACGTCGGTCGTTGGAAGTCAGAGTGAGAGGGCCGAACGGTCATTAATTGTCCCTGGGTGCGTGGCTGAATAGGGAATGTGTGGTGAGGATTATGCTTGTTGCGTTGTTGTTGTTGTTGTTGTTGTTGTTGTTGTTGTTGTTGTTGTTGCTGTTGTTGTTGTTGTTGTTGTTGTTGTTGTTGCGGTTGTTGTTGTTGCGGTTGTTGTTGTTGATGATGATGTTGATGCTGATGCTGATGAGGATGATGATGATGTTGTTGTTGTTGCTGTTGTTGTTTTGTCGTCGTCCCACCCGCGACCCACACGCGACCCATCCCGCGACCCACCCTGCGACCCACCCTGCGACCCACCCCGCGACCCACCCCGCGACCCACCCGCGACCCATCCCGCGACCCACCCGCGACCCGCGACCCACCCGCGACCCACCCGCGACCCACCCGCGACCCACGTCTCGACCCATCCGCGACCCACCCGCGACCCACCTCTCGACCCATCCGCGACCCATCCGCGACCCATCCGCGACCCACCCGCGACCCACCCATCGACCCACCCGCGACCTATCCCGCGACCCACCCTCAAGGGAGGAGAAACCACCCGGACCCGACAATTTACGTTTACGAAACGGCCTTCGGCGTTTACTAAACAGCCTTGCCTTGTTCCATTCATTCCTTGTGTGCGTTTACTAAACGGCTTCGCTAGTCTGGGTGATTCTTATGGGGTGGATTCTCTGCCCTCTATTCCCGCGAGCCAACAGCGACCCAGCCGCGACCCATGTGCGGCCCACCCGCGAGCCACCCGCGACCTTCCCACATTGGTTCAACGAAAAAATCGGCGGCCGGGGCAGGCTCGTTGCATAATTTGGGAAACTTTGGCGCCTGCGGAGGGCTTCTCCAGAGTCTCGCAATCTGCCGACGTCCCCATCGCCCCCTCATTTTTATCCGCATCTGCGGGGTGCTACGGTAGTCATTTCTAGACTCCCATATCCCAATCTACTCTAGGCGCCTTTCTACTTCAGTGAGCGAGTGGCTGTCCATCTTCCTTCCTCTTCAGGGGGCGGGCGGAAGCCCAATCTATTGCCAACGCTTCCCTACTTCATGTTTCTACCAATTTCTTCCGACCGACGGGTGAACATAAGCTCCGAGGTCCGTGCGGATTTCTTGGATCGGTGCTGGACCCCCTCTGGCGCGCGGAGCGAGCCAGGGGCGGCGCCGGAGGCGCCGCCAGCAGCCGCAACGGCAGCAACACCAAGATCACCACGATCAATAGCAGTAACAAAGGCAGCAGCACCAGCAGCAGCACCACTAGCAAAGCAGCAGCCGCATCAGCAACACCAGCAACACCAGTACCAGCCACTGCTCCTCCGAGTCCCCGTCCTAGTTCTCTGGGGATCCTCCACGCTCTGTTTCGCGATGTGTGTCCCTTACTTTAAACACATTTCGGCTCTGAGGGGCATCGTTTCTGGATGGGCCGGTGGGGCTGCACGAAGCGTCCAGAAATCTAACCGGCCTATGTTGAAGAGTCGTGCCACGCGCACCAGTCGGACCACTTGTGCGGGTTTATGACGGAGTGGCGGCCCCGACGAGATTCGTGACAATGAAATTTGTATGGTAGCATATGTACATTAACGAAACATTGTGCATGCAGTGTTGTTTTGTTCTCTGTAGGGATTTCTTAACAAGCCATAGTTTTTTCTTGGTTTCGAAGTAACTCGTGCAACTCGACACCCGAACTCCGTCATAAATGGTGCGAGGATGCACGGAGCAACGACGGCGCCACATGGCGCCGAGACGGCGTCCAAATGGCGCGGTCTGGCCTAAGGTGGTTGTCGGCATGGCCCACAAACGGTCTCGAGGGGGATCCGAAAAGGGGGCCCAGTGGAGCCTGGTGAGCCCGCGCGAGCTCTTCGACAGCACTGGGCGAACAGTGCCGGGGGCAGGGGGCGGCGAAGGATGAGCAAGAGGTGACCGCGACGATGATGCGTTCGAGCCAGACGGCGGAGGCCAAGCCTCGTGCCCAGCCGGCTACGGAAGGCAGAAAGGCGAGGAGGGGGAGGGAGCGAGGCGAGGAAACGCACGAGGGAGGGTCGCGGGGTCGAAACAATCAGCTTGCGCATCCCGGACGACGGGGGCCTGAGGCGCCCCTCCCGAGTGGTAAGTGCAAGCGTGTGTTACTGTGGTTTCGCGCTGCCTCGAAGCCCTCGCGCATCTCCAGCTGACGTGTCTTCAGAGGTGCCCGAACCTCTCCCAGGAGCGCCGAGGTATCTCGCCGGGTGCCTCACGCAGTCTCCCGCAGGGCATCTGACATAGATTCTGGAAGTTGGGTTCTCCAAGGCCCCCGAGCGCCTTCAGAGGGTCTGATGTCCTTCCCAACCGTTCCAGAGTCGACCGCACAGACCGAGCGGGCCAATCGGACCAATCCAATCATACCAACCAGATGAACGCTCCCGACCAAGACAACCAAACAGACCAAATGAAGAAGAACGTCCGAATCAACCATGCAGTCCCGACAAGAGCAGCGAAGTCTGCACATCCAGATCGGATCAAGAAGGCGGCCGCGTTTTTTTCTCGAGTTGGGGTTTTTTGGAGAGGCTCCATCGCCGATCTTTGCCGTGCAAAAAACTGCAGCGGACAAACAAATATCTCTAAGCACGGTCGTTGGCGCGGTGAGTATCGCACCTCGCCCCCCCCTGCACCTTCCCGAACCTCTTGCCGTGGAAATGCGAGTCCAGGAGATCTCAAACTGGAGTTGAAACACAGTTGCGGGACGCAAACGAAAAGCTGCAATGCAAGCAACAATTGCAGCGCCAAAGACCGCTCGTGGGCGTCGTGGGCGCCGTGGGCTTCAGATTCTCCCTGGGCTCCCCAAACCGGTCTCGACTCGCACGCGGAATCCAAAGCTGAAGCTGGAGCGGCAAAGTTGCAATGCCGAAAAACAATACAATGCAACGCAAATTGCAGCGCAAAAGCAAATTGCAATTCGCATCATGGGCGTAGGCGCCGTGGCTCTCAGACCCTCCCTGGACCTCCCCAAACCGGACTCGCCTCGCTCGCGGAATTTGGGAACCCCCAAACCGGGTGGTGAGATACCAGGTGGCGACCTGGAATCCCCAAAAAGGTCACTGCTGGGTTTGGGGACGCGGGGTCACCACCGGGTTTTGTGACTCCTGGACCCACCAGTGTCCGGGACATCCTCTGAAAACCGCACGAGTCCCCAAACCGGGTGGTGACACCAAATCGCCCGAGACTCACCACCAGGTATATATTGTCACCACCACGTTTGGGGATTACCAAGGAATCCAAAGTTGAAGGTAGAGCGGCAACGTTGCAACGCAGAACAAACATGAAATGCAACAACAAGTGCATCGCAAAAATTATGAAAGTCGCATCATGGTATTTGGCGGGTTTCAGACCCTCCCTGGACCTCCCCGATGTCGTCTCGCCTCGCAGACGGGATCCAAAGCTTAAGCTTGAGCTCAACACTCAATCCTTTGTTTTGATGGTCGGCGTCCCGCCGTGCGCTATAACGGCTAAGAATTTGATCATTCTACGCGTTCTTCAATACCATGTTGTGCCATGTCATGCTATTCCATCGACTGCGCGAATAGAGAGGAGATCTACGCCATGGTAAAGGATGGGAGGCAGGGGTAGGACGTCAGATATGACGCGAGCGCACCTATCTTGATACGCTGCCCTCTTTCGCCCCCCTTCTCTTCCACAGGGACCCAGGCCCCTAACTCCCCTCGTCCGCTCTTCACGCGCGCCTCCACACTGACGCCATCGAAGCGCATACAGTCGAAACCGATAGAAAGGATAGGCAACCTTCCCAAGAGTGCCCTTACACCCTCGCCTCCTTTGGTCCATCCTCGACCACTCTCGATGGCCAGCCCCGCTCGAGTAGCCTCGACATGGGCGTCCGAGGGGCTTGCACGATCGGCCTTGACTGTGCAGCGCCGGGTCCGTCTCCCCTTCCCCCTTCCCCCTGCCTCTCCATGCGAGCCTCCCGCCCTCTGCCTCCCCCCTTCCTGCCTTTCTCGCCCCGTGCCTCCACCCTTCCTGCCTCCCCCCTTCCTGCCTTTCTCCCCCCTTCCTGCCTTTCCCGCCCCCTGCCTCCCCCCTTCCCCCTGCCTCCCGCCCCCTGCCTCCCCCCCCCTTGCCTCGCCTTCCTGCCTTCCCCCCTCCCTGCCTTCCTCCTCCCTGCCTGCCTGCCGCCCGTCCTCTGCCTCCCCCTCACCCTCCGGGCTTCCCGCCTCGTGCCTTCCCCTCCCGACCCTGCGAGGCGTCTGAGCCCCCCCCCAAGTTTTTTGCACCGCCATGAGTCGCGCAATAGCTTTAATGTTAATTGTTATAGCTTTAACGGCTGCTGCTAGGAGCTGCTTTTATAGCTTTTTATGTTGGAAGTGGCTCTTCTGGCTTCAATGTTAACTTTTATCGCTTTTATGGCCTTCCCCGAGGAGCTCGAGCTGCTTTTATAGCCTTGAATGTTGGAAGCC